TTGCAACTCCTTTTCTCTTTTCCTAATGACTTGTTCTTAAATGAAAACATTGTAGTAAAACAAATCTAGAAAAGAGAGAGACATTACTCCATGCAACATATGAACTAATGGCAATGAAAGTCGGGCCTTGCTATTGCTTTTAAACTTCTTCCAAAGTTCATTTACTCATCTTCAGGTATTTGTGTTTTCTCGGAATATGCATTTTTTTTAAACTCAAAAGTAAGGATTCTCAACTGCAGGTTCGCCTTCTTGTACTGCCAAATCTGGAGTCATATCTGCGACTACTTGAACCAGAGCTGCTTCTTGACAAGCAAAAGAATGAGATGAAGAGGCATGAAGCGTGGCGTGTGTATGGAGCCTTGTTGGTGAGTCTCTTTTCATGCCTGTATATACTGTTTGAAAAATCTAAGTAAGGCTTCCTAATGAGAGCATGCACTTTTCCAGAATGCAGCAGGTCAATGCATATATGATAGGCTCAAGATGTTCCCACTTATATTGTCTCCAACGCCGCAATCTTTTTGGAGGGCCAATGGAAAACTCCGTATTACTATGCCAAGTAAGACATTCAATGGCTTATGTTTTCTTGAATGATGGCACTTCAACCACTTCGAATGAGTGTTTCTTGATTATACAAGCATAGAACCAGCATATATATGGGTTTTTGGTTTTTATTTTCTCCTTATACCTTTCTTCTACATATTTCCCACCATCCTTCCACTCTTCACATCCTTCAAATTTCTCCCTTGTGTTTTGCCTCTATCTCCCACACAAAGTGAAAACTAAAAACCAAAAATAATATCAAGGGCCCCATAAATTGCTAGACTGATTCGTAAGTTTCTTGCAATAGAATAGATTATACTACTCAAACGGGTATACAAGAAGCATAAACACTATCACGTATAGCAGTTGAGCACCCTTAAGCTACAAGCCTATTGTATATTTTCCGATTGTAACACATCAACCATGCAATGGTCCAAGAAAGAGTTTCCGCTTTCCTATCCCCCTGCAATCCCTTTTGGGTATGGGATTCTGCTCTTATATGTACTAGGCTATTAGGCTTTGGCCATAATGAAGGAAGCACCCCTTGGATATTTCTGACCGAAAAGCTGATGAATAGGGTTGCTTGTCCAGGAAGGAGAAGTACCCTTCACTTTTCAAGGTTTATTGTTTAGATAAAGTCTTAACTCTGATTCTTATGTACATAACCAAGATAAACGCAAGCGAAGTGTGGAACACATGGAAGAGCAACCGCCCCTGCAGAAAATTGCAACTGATGGGCCAACAGATATAGCGCCTACTAATTCTTCACCATCTCACATGGAAGTAGACACAGCAGCTCCAGCTCCATCAGGGGATACTGATGCAGGCCCCTCGTCGTCTTCTCAGAAAATGCCAGATGAGAGCATTTCACACGGCACAAGTTCAAGGGGCAAGCCTGCTGGTCAGTCTCTAAAGAAATCAGCTATCCTCTCTCAGGTTTGGAAGGATGACTTGAATTCTGGGCATCTCCTAGTGTCGTTGTTTGAGTTGTTCGGTGAAGACATTCTCTCTTTTGTTCCAGCCCCCGAGATGTGTTTATTTTTGTAACTGTCTGTAGCAATCTTGAAACTCAAGATTGGTGTACAAAAGGAAAGATAGAAAGAAAGATTTCAGCGAGAAATTTTTGTATAAATACAGTAGAAACTCAGATAAAATCATATCGATGTACATTTATTTTAGCTATCTTTGGTCTGTTCATGCTCATTTATTTGTGATGGAACTTGAACATAAAAATCGACATCGCAGAAGGCTCTTTGTAATTAAGTACACAAGTACAATCTCTTAAAAGTGCTTAATTAAGCGGCTGCTTAGTTTTGGCACTGGAGCGCTCTTTTTCCACTGCTTTCTTCAGCAAGCTATCTTCTTCCAACACCATTTGAACTGGCAAGAACCCCATCCCATTGGCCATAGCCAGCATCATCCTCTTGGTTTCAGCCTTGAACTCCTCCAAATCAACCGCCCCGTTCGAGTCATGATCGAACTGCACGAACAGCGAGTCGTAGACATGAGCAATCTCTTCCGGGTTTGGCTTCACGTCAATGCCATAGTGGGTCTCAAAGACCCGTAGAGACTGAAGCTCCTTCAGCATCTCTGCATAAGAAAGCAGACCATCGTGATTGGCGTCGAGACGAGCAAAACGGTCCCGTACTGAGCGGCCGAATGCTTCTTCATCTTCCACAAAGTTGACAATGGTGGCACCATCCAGCACTTCTACACTCATCTTCTCTTATGCTAGCTTGGGATTTTTTCACAAGGAAATTTGGATTGATTTGGATTTTGGTTGCAAATTAAAGAAGTGATGGAATGTTAAGTATTTATAAACACATGCATGGGGCACTGAGTTTTTTGTTTTATTTTTGGCCCCTTGTTTCTGTAATCCATAAGTTTTATGGAATTTGTTTCTGTGAAGTTGATGGATAAACGTTTTACCTACTTTACAAGCGGCTAGCCAATTAAACGGAAAAAATAGACAACTTGCAAGTGGAGGCTTAAAATAGTAATATGACGGTATATTTTATGAATGGATACTCGCCAGATCCTCGGAAATCCTCCAATAACATTCGTTCATCGTATATTGTACGGTTAATTTTCGTCAGGTACTGTTTATATTTCAATTTTAAATAAAAAAATTTATAATGATTTCTGATCGTACGATGTACGATGCACAAATATAATTAGAGGATCCCGGGAATCTTTACAAAGAATCCTCTCTCAAATCTTTCGTTTTTTTACCAACTACTGTTTTCTTCTAGTTTTTTCAAATTATGTACTGGTTTGCTAAAATTGTTTAATAGTTCGGATTAGTTATGAGCGATTATAATTGAATTGAGAAACCCTTTTTTTTTTTTTTCTTACTCACCAATTCAATTGATTAAACGACGAACTACTCGGGGACTATAATACAAATCCTAAGTCAAATAACTCGGATTCGTACATATTCTGACCTTTGAAGTCATATAAATCGGATAAGGATTCTTTTGGAATTCTCTTTGCGGAGATCTAGGAATCCTCACATCATATTTGTTTATTATATATCTTGTAATCAATTTTCGTTAAGTGTTATTTGTGTTTAATTTTAAATAAATGATTTTAAAATAATTTTTGATCATATGATGTACGATAAACGGTTATATGTGAAGATCTTTAAAATCTTCACAATTTGAATCTGGATGGGATCCAAATTCATATAAATATTTATTTATATTCTATATATATAATTCTAGATAGCTATATTATATTAATTAATATTAAAATGAAACTACTAGATGTCTTCAAGTTTTGAAAAAAAATATTTAGGTTATTTGAACCTTTCAATCCAATTGGCCCTAGACAATTCTGGAAGGTCAAATTCAGAATAATTTGACCCCGCACACAGATTAAGCTGGTGATGAACTGACGCGTTGGCAAACTGAGCAGAAAATCAACTTCGGTGAGAAAACCCACAGATTTTGCATATTACTGTGTATGCGTGTGTTATTCTTTCTCTTACTTTCAGTCTCGAGACAAAATATGTAAAAAGGGCAATATTGTAATTACACCATCTAGACATATTACTTAGTGTTTAAGAAAAATGCTACTAGATCTACCCTAATGTCTTATTTTCTCATCCACGTTATAACCTCACCCACCACTAAAAGTTAAAAAATTGAAACCGTATTTCCCCACCCACTATTGTTCCTAAAATAACCTTGTTTCGTATAACAATAACTTAAAAAACTCTAAAGCTAAAATCTTGAGCTTCATTATACAAATTTGACACGAAGTTGTTATTGCTTGAAACTGAAAGACTTGTATCCTAACAAACAATCTCTCTCTCAAATTTGCATCTCAATTCCCCCATCTGAATTGAATGGGGTTCTGAGGACATACATGACAACTACTGAAAAAGGACTAATCAATTAATGATTTCCAATTAGTGCATATATCCAAAAGTGATTTTTTTGAAATTGAAATTGAATATTAAACTTAATCCTAAATCAAGTTATAAATCCAAACTAATAGTCTGCTAACTAGCTTAGATTTGTATGAAATATACATTGTGTGGGAAAACCTAGTAAAAGAGCGCTTGCTATCTTACTGTTAACCAAAACAGACAAAATCCACAACCCCACAATCACCACCCAGTCTACCATAATCAGTGGCGGATCCAGGAAATGATATTTGGGTGTGCTCGGGGGAGGGAGGAAATGGTAGTGAGAGAGGGTAAGTGTTTCTCGGGGAGAGACACGGAGAAAAAGAAGGAAATGTGAGAGAGAGAGGGTTTGAGAGATTGGGAGAGGAACCCACATGGCAGAAGAAGAGTGGGGAGTGTAGTGTAGATGTGGGTCCCACGTGTCAGGATAATATTAAAAGAATTAAATATCCAACCCTAATATCTAGAATAATGAATTGACTATTTTGCCCTTCAACTTCGTAGCTCCATAAAACGTTCATCGTAATTCCAAATCCGATTCCACTTGCGCCCACACGCTCATAACAACAAGTGCCACAAGGATATGCCAAGGATATAAACCTCAAGTGAAACAACAATGCGGTGAACAAAAGTCAATGTTTTTGTTTGAAGGGCATTTTCGTATATTCACACATTAATATTATAAAAACCGTAATAATTAGGGACGGGTCATTACACTTGTGTTGTTCTCTCTTTTCATTCCTCTGTATGCTCTCATTTTATAGGCAAAAGGTTACCGTAGCAAACACCATTTACTTTACAAAATTTCCTCAAATGAATAGTGCAAATACCATGCATGAATAGTAACTCGTATGTTTTTCTTCATAAGAAAAGTAACCCATGTGATTTTTCTTTTTTTTCCCTCATATGAATAGTAACCCATATGATTTTTCTTCATACGAATAGTAACCCATTTGATTTTTCTTATTTTTTTCCTCATATGAATAGTAACCCATTTGATTTTTTCTTCATATAAATAGTAACCCAACTGATTTTTTCTTCATATGCATGTTGCACTCAAAGTACACAAATGCCTTTTGCTTGAAAAGGTGTGAACCATCACTCATGAGCATGCATAATGACTGGTGTCATCTACTAAACCCCCTTATTTTATCGTTCAATAGTATCTTCAAGCATATAAATAGGTGATCGCCAAAGCTTAAAGCATTCCCATCTTTCTTTGTGAGAATTTTGAGCAACATACGAGTTCAAGAAATCATGAAATATTTCAAGTTTTTGATTTTGCTAGGCCTTCTGCTTGGCACCCTGGTTTTCGTCTCTTCCACTGGTGTAGCTGAGACATCCAAAGATGAGAACAAAGGTTAGTTAATTATATAGTGTGGTGTGTCTGTATATTAAAATATACAAGATATGTATCCTTTACTCTGCGTATTCACTGGCGAAGCTACAAAGGAGCAAGAAGGGGCGGGTGCCCCTCCAGTCATCGGAAATAGCCACTAAGAGTGAGAATATCGCCCCTCTGATCTTCTAAACTTGTTGATCTAAGTGCATTTCGCTGCTGAGTTTTGGTTTCAAGGGAAGAAGATGACCTGGTTTTGTTTAAACGGCATCGTTTACCTTTTATAAAACTTAATGTTCCTTTTAATGAAACGGTGCAGTTCGGTGGGTTTAGTTTCTTTTTAATTTTTAATTTTATTGATGTGGTTTTCTTTCCCAACCGCACTACCAACCCACCATTTTAATTCTCTTCCCTCTCTCTCTCTCTCTCTCTCATTTGTTTAGACTATTCAAAAACAAAGGTTGACGTTTGTAATTGTTCTTTTTTAATTCTTGTTATTATATCTGGTATTTAAAATTATTTCATCTTATTGTCTTTTAATTTTTGTGAAATGATGACTTTGAGGGCTTGTTTCAAATATACAAAAGTTTTGTGAGGAAAATATCATTAGTGTTCTTATGTGAGGGTGTTTTTGATGTTACTGAGAGAGACGTTTACATTGCGAGAGATGTACAACAGTTGTGTGATAGCTTGATTGTTTATATTGAGAGGGATGTTTTTGTTTTTATTGACAATGAGTCTATTATGCGACGTTTCATGACATGAAATCTTGCCGACAATAATTACAACTTGTTTGTATTGACAAACTGTGAACAACATTAAATATTGTCTACTATCTAAAATGATTTGATTGTCTACATTTTTGTGGAACCTATTATGCTTTTAAATTTCGCCCCTCCTCCCGAAAATTCCTGGTTTCGCCGCAGTATTGACATTGATTTATGAACGTATATACACAAACATATATAACATTGTTATCTGATTAAGTATTGTCAAACTATGAAATCTTAGACTTAAAATGACTAGCTTAATTTTTTATAACGCAGCAACAGAGTCAAAAGCAGTAGACGATAGCACTGAAACAAAGCCTAATGGATATGGATATGGATATGGAGGCGGCGGCTATGACGGTTGGGGGGGCAGAGGAAGTTACGGAGGTGGAGGCTGGGGGGGAGGAGGTGGTTGGGGGGGCAGAGGAAGTTACGGAGGTGGAGGCTGGGGAGGAGGTGGTTGGGGGCCCCCCAGTGGTTGGGGGCCCCCCAGTGATTGGTGGCCCCCCAGTGGTTGGGCGCCCCCCATTGGTTGGGGGAAAGGTGGCTGGGGGAAAGGCGGTGGAGGCTGGAGGAAAGACAGTGGTGGAGAAAACTAAAGCCATATGCCTTCATCAGTCTCAAAAGACTATTTTATGAGAACTATGCATATATATAAGTAGAACACCGTCTATGCTAGGAAATATGAATAGGCTGCATGCATGCATGCCATCATGTTCATATGTAATTGCTAGTCTTATATCAAATATGTATCACTTTAAAATGTGTCATTTTAAAGTTTCTCTTAAGGGTTAATCTCAGTTTACTACCTTGAAGTTTCTTGGTTTTCAACATTTGGTACATGAAGTTTTTTTCGTCCCAGAGTGATATCTAAAGTCATAATTTTGGAACACTTTCATGCATCTGTTAAGTTTTCTGTCAGAACCTCTGTTAATTGATGACATGACACCCACGTGGACAATGATTAGGCTATTAAAAAATAAACAAATAATAATAAAAAAAACTATTCTCTTCCCCTCCCTTTTCTCTTCCCTTATCCGTTCGACTCCTCACTCTTCACCCCCTCCCTTCTCTCTCCCCAAATCAACCTTCACCCACCCTAACCCAAACTATGCCGACTCGTCGCCTTCCTTACCGTCATCGCCCAAACCTTAACCCGGTGTCGTACAACTTCACCTTTGGGTGATGGGGCCTACCTTATTTCTTCACTAGCGTAACCCAGTGTCATACAGTTTCACCTTCGGGTGATGGACATGTACTACCTTCGGGCGAATGAGGAGTAGATGATATTGATGAGATACCCCCAGCTTCACTAATCTGGGGCTAATGTTGGTGTGTGATGTTATATGTTTCTTCTCTGCGTAACCTAGAGTCGTACAGCTTCACCTTCAGGTGATGGGGCGTACCATATTCTTCATTGGTGTAACCTAGTGTCGTACAACTTCACCTTTGGGTGATGGACATGTATAATATTGATGAGATTTACGGATTTGCCTTCAGGCAACGATTGCACCATTATCGAGCATTGTTTTACACATACATGTTTTACGAACGTTTTCATTGCAGGCTAGAGTTTTCAGAAAACTTACTACATAGTACTATATATATGTTTTCAAAACAGGGGGTTACTATGTTCCTAAATAAAATGGTTTTCTTATTATTAGTATTAATATAAACTTTGGTCCACTCATATTTTCTGTTTTGGGCCCCCTCAGGAGTTAGAATCGAGGCACACGATCCCAGCGTCAGGGTACTTCTGCTTAGGCATCTTTGAATCTCCTTTGTGTGGGACACATTCCTTGGTTTGTACCTTTCCATAATAATTCTTTCATATTATTCTCGATTAGTTGTATGCTCTGAACACGATTCTGCATTAGTGTATCCTTTTCTAATTACATATTTGGTCGGTATGCATGTTTTTAATGGCTTCGTCACCCCCGGGTGTCGGCCAGCACGTGCCTACCCTGATATATAGGAATATCACAGTTGGGGGGTGTCATTTGAAGTTTTTTATTTGAGGGACATTTCTATTCAATTTTTTTTTATGAAGCTTGTGACCCCAAAAACTACTATTCAAAGTCCTACCGGCTTTATATATAAACAGATAGATAAACAGTTAATAATTTCGTGTGAGCAATATCCATCTTTGTGAAAAAAATTTCGATCCACACCACATTCACATTCAACTCTAAACTGCGACGTACAGTAAAATTTGCTTCTTTGGCATTATTCTTCCTGGGCCAAAATGTCTTACGGATATAGCATGGGGGTCTCAGTCTCATCTCCCACACAATACTATCTTCAAGAAAAAAAGAACTATATATCGGATTGAATTTGACCAAGTACTATATATACATTAATAAATGAGATAAGATTGAAAGAATTGGTTGGTCAACTTGACGTCCAACAACCAGCTACTGCACCGAGCTACTAAATAAGGTACTTTGGCTGGGACGTTCTGATCTAGAATATGATCAGAAAAACTTGGATTGTTGTTTCTAAAGGGTCAAGTATGAAAATAATCACACCAGAACATCAATCGTTCAGTTCTTATTCACGATGTATCATCTTCTTGCATTATAATTTAATTAAAATAATAATATTACGTGATTGTGTTTTGAGCCAATTGTAAAATTATTTTTTTATCAGCAGTCGTATGGAGGCCCATTACCTAGACACATCAATCGTTCAGTTCTTATTCACGATGTATCATCTTCTTGCATTATAATTTAATTAAAATAATAATATTATTTGATGAGTGTTTTCATCTAAATTCACTGCGTTCGGCGTTTAACTCTCCCCATTTAATATCATTTGAATTAAATAATAAAACGAAAATTGGTGTGTCTGTGCAGTAAGTGTGTGAACGTGTCCAAATTCGCGTGCACGTGTCCAAATTCGCATGCATGTGGAGCTCAAACTAGACACATGTCTTTGCTTGAACGCCAGAACCACCTGTGTTTTTTTTTTTTTTCCATATATGAGGCGGGGGGGTTCATGATAGGAATCGAATATGCATTGTTTATTCTACTTAAAGTCAAACGTACGTACGTACTACTCTTTTCAAACTGCTAACATAAATCTGCGTCCTCACTCGTAAATATGCACCACATACTTCCATAATGTCTACCGTCGTGTAGTAGCACTCCCAGCACTATAAATTAACAATGGTGATCGTCCAACGCTTAACATTCACATCCTTCTAGTCTTTCTTGTGGGATTTTTGAGTAGTGTACGAGTTAGCGAATGGTGAAATATTTCAAGTCTCTTATTTTGCTAGGCCTTCTGCTTGGCCTTCTGCTTGGCTCCGTTGTTCTTGTATCCTCTGCTGCTGAAGCTGAGACATCCAAAGATGAGAAAAAAGGTTAATTATTATGAACTTATTCATGATAGTTAATATTCGTTTATATTTTAAATGGTTAGTCGTCTGATATTTTTTTTTTTCAATTCACTGTGTCTCCATTTTAAACAATTACACATATATATCAATATTGTTTACACGTTTACACAACGTACCTGTGCACCCCTTACATTCGCACGACTGACTAAAACCACATGTATGCACCCAATTATTAGGGGGAGAAAAAAGAAAAGGAAATGTATACAAGAATTTGATTCTGTTTCCGCTATAAGTTCATAACAGTGTCGTATAGTTCGTAAATTACATATTTAGCTAGGGTTTTTAGTATTCATACTGCTCCAATATACTCGACATATACTTGCTAAGTCGACTAAGGCTAAGATATATATATATATATATGTTTGCATATGGTGCAGAGGATGAGCCAAAGGAAGTTAACCAAGGTGGCGGGGGATACTGTGGCCAGTGTTGCTATCGCTATGGCCGCTACACTTGCGGCAGACAGTGTTGTTGGCCTGAAGTTGCTGATCAGTCCGAAGTAGTAGTTACCGATGACGCAGTACAGGACAATTTTGAAACAAAGCAGCCTGATGGATATGGAGGCTGGGGAGGAGGCGGACGTGGTGGCGGAGGTTGGGGAGGAGGTGGACGCGGTGGCGGAGGCTGGGGAGGAGGTGGACGTGGTGGAGGTGGCGGTGGGGGAGGAGGTGGACGTGGCGGAGGTGGCGGCTGGGGAGGAGGAGGACGTGGCGGAGGTGGCGGCTGGGGAGGAGGGGGACGTGGTGGCAGTGGCGGCTGGGGAGGAGGGGGACACGGTGGCGGCGGAGGAAACTGAGGCCATATGCCTACAAATATAGGCTCGAAGCTAGGCCAACAACATCACGAGAGTCTTTATAATTAAGCACATGTACATCGTTGTCGAAAAATATGGATAAACTCCGTGCATGCACGTATATGCACGCATGGGATCATGTCGTATGTAATGTTATATGCACAAGCATGAAGGCATGGCATAAGTGTCAAATATCACTTGGATAAATTTGACTCTAGCTGGCTCCAAGGACTGATGATAGTCCGTGTAGCTCTTTCATGCGTTAAATATCTGTAGTTTGCACCCTTTGTACTCGCGAACGGTAACGCAGTATATACATAGCACTCTTTCTAGTGTTTTATATAGACGTACTCTCTTTTTGCACGACTATGATAGATTTTTAGATTAGCATATTTTTTTTTTCCTTTAATAAGATGAGACTTGTCAATGGCTTTATCAGGATAATCTACTTTTTAAAAAAAGGAGAGAATACTCAAATAAGTATTTCAGTCTCTTCTTGATTATTACCATTCACTAGCATCAAGAAACAAGTTAATAACGTGATGTGTGAAATATAAATATGAAATTTATCTCCAACCCTGAGGCCATCGTCTATGATATGCATATGTTGTTCAATCGAATAAAAGCTCGTATTTTTTTTTTTGTTAGTAAATTTTGCAAACGAGACATTAAATGTTGTCCACATCCATGTTACACCATTAAAATGGTACGCCGTAGTGGAAAGTGTTTTGATGAAATAAAAGATAAAAACCTCCTCACTACTTCCAAAGTTTGGAAGTAAGCAAGTCATCTTCCTCAATTGATAAAATCCAGGAGAAAAAGAAAACCAACAAAATACAGAAAAGTAAGGTCCAGACCAAAATGCTCAGCCTCTTCCTTCTGACTGTAAGATACTCAACGAGACCCATTACCGTGAAGTCTATCAGCGACCCAATTTTATAATAAAGAGCATTTTAAGGGGTGATTATGAATTTTTGGTAGCAACTAAAAATTAAAGTAATTCGGCTGGGACTTTCTGTTCTTGAATATGAGCAAGAAAAAAAATGAATGCTTGTTTCTAAAGGATCAAGGTTGAAAATAATCAGACCAGTAAAAACTTAGTGCTCCGTTATAAACTGATGAAGCATAATCACTTCATTTCTTCTTCATTAATCTATCACTCTCTCTTTATATTTCTGCTGCTTCGTTGTTCATCAATCTTCATCAATTCAGTTCTGTAACGATGGTATCGAGCCCCTGATCCTGTAGGTTGCTGTTTCTGATCAATTGGGCGGAGACTCTTTGGATAAATATTTACTTAAACTCAAATCTATAAGAGATAATTCACTGCTGCTGGTGAATCATTTCAGATAATGTTGTTATAGCAGCTTAGCAGGGTCACCAAAGGAGTATGCTACAATCCTGGACTGCCATTGATGGAGAGCCTGCTATCACTATGAAGGAATTTCGTGCATTACTTGTGGGAGCTGAAGGGGAGAATGAAATGACTATTAATACTCTGTCACATGGACTGTCTGCAATGTATATGCAAGGTTCATCCAGTTCATCAATGCACTCTATGTTTAATAATGGAGCTTATAGCTCAAATTTTGCAGATGTTGATTCTTATTGTACTGGTGCAAGAGTCATGGCTGCTCCTGTATTGCATTATAGCACCATCCACAGCCTTCGGGTAACTCCCAATCTCATTTTCCTGTCTCTCCAACTTATAGTTTTGGTTTTGTGGGTAACTCAAGATCAATGGATGCACCTCAATATTTTTCTCAACAAAGACCATATAATGGAGGCCAGCAAAGAGGAAATGGAGGTTATAAATCAACCTACAAGGGCAAAGGTTAGAACACTTACAAACCAAGTAATGGATGGTCTGGTAATATCGATTCTAGAACAAATGCAACCAGAGTGTCAAATCTGTTAGAGAAGAGGACATACATCCCCTTACTGTTTCTTCAGAAATTTTAGTATGGCTTCTTCTGTTACATCAATGAATGCCAGATCTATAGAAAAAAGGGATATATTGCCTTGGAGTGCTATCATAGAAGCAATTTTTCTTATCAGGATTCACTTCCACCACCATCTCTTGCTTCACAATATTCTGTTCAAAATCCAATACTACCACTTCAGAATCCAATAGCACTTGCACCATTTGCCGCCAATTACTCCTGTCAGGTGCCACATCAGTCATCATCATTGCATGTTGATCATTGTCATCAACCTTCCTCTTCATTGAATGCTATGGCAGCTCAGAGTACACCAACATATCCAAATTCTACAACTTGGATTATGGACACAGGGGGATCTCACCACATGATATCTGGCCTTGCTGCTCTCTACCAAGTAAAACCTTTTTGAAGGCTCCGAGAAGATTAAAATAGAAAACAGCGAACATTTGCTTATTCAAAATATTGGTTCTACAGTACTTAAAACCTCTTCTCATTCCTTAGTTTTGAAGAATGTGTTGCATGTGCCTACTAGTGATGTTAATTTAATGTCCGTCAAAGAATTGTGTAAGGACAATTGATCCTGATTTATTTATGACGATACTTGATTTTTTGTGCTGGACAAAGTGACAAAGGAGATATTGTTTGAAGGAAGGAGTAGACCCGTAGAGTTGTGTGAGATTCCTGTTTCTACATTCAAGTATGCAAGAGCTCTTCTTGGACAGCTAGTGAAGTCTTCCGTGTGACATCAAAGACTAGGATATCCTACAAATGAAGTCATGTCTTGTCACATCCCGGTCTACGGTCCACCACATCCTGGGCCCCCTCTACCACCATAGCACGATATTGTCCGCTTTGGGCCCCGACCACACTCTCACGGCGGGGAACTCACACGAGAACTTCCTAGTGGGTCACCCATCATGAGATTGCTCTTGTGCGCTACTCACTTAACTTCGGAGTTCCAATGGAACTCGAAGCCAGTGAGCTCCCAAAAGGCCTCGTGCTAGGTAGAGATGAGAATATACATATAAGGATCACTCCCCTGGATGATGTGGGATCTTACATGTATGTTATGTTAGCTAAGTCTCAAATCTCTCATTCTTTTGATAATAATCATGGTATGTGTACTGCTTGTATTCAAGGGAAAATGACTAGGATACCATTTTCTGATGAGTCTCATGGATGTGTTTTACCATCTAAAAGGATACACTCAGATACTTGGAGTCTATTTCCTGTAAAGTCCCTTGAGGGCTACAAGTATGTTGTATTGGTTGATGATTGTGTTAACATAAACATAATGCAATATGAACCCTAGTACTTCAAATACAAACCCATGTTCATAAACCCTTCAACACATAAGGAAAAGCTTACCTGCAGATGAAGCTGGGGAGGAGGGAAGGGGCATCGTGGTGGCGGAGGCTGGGGAGGAGGGAAGGGGCTGTGGCAACTGAAGCCACGGGCCTATAGGCTCCGAAGCTAGACCAACTTCATGAGAATCCACATGTATAAGTGCGTAGTTCTGCTCTGTTGTAGGAAAATATGAATAAGCTATCATGCATATGAATGTATAAGAAGGGGATCATGTACGTATGCAATTTTCTGCACTTAGTTCTCATTATCCGTAATGTTGCATTACATATTGATCACCTTCTAATGTTTTGATTTTTTAAAACCGTACGCACTCTTCTCTACGACTATGAGTATATGAGAAAAACAGAAAACAGAAAATAAGGTCCAACGAAATCTTGGGGAAAAAATTGTATAAAAACAAGGTATTTAGCTACAATAGATATATTTTGACATTTGGTTGTAAAAATTATTAGCGTTTACTATGTCGTTACTATAACATTACTGTGTTGTTGTTGTCATCATTGTATCAACAATATACAATTATATATCGTTGTCGCTGAAAAACAATAATTTTTACAAATCGAATATCAATTTAGTGTAGCTAATTTTCCAAAAAGAAAGAATGAACTTTTGCGTTTTCTTCATCTTTTTTCTTTGGTTACGTTATTCAGCAATTCTACTATGATTAAAATGAAAATGTTAGAAAAGTTTCTTTTTTGCCAATCGTTAGAAACGTATTAAAAGCATTACATACATATTTTAGTTTAGATAAGTTGGTTAGAGCAATGTGAATGGTTCCCATGTGATTAGAGCATTACATACCTATTTTGGTCAAAATTCACTCTGTGGTTTAAATAAATTTAATGCAAAATTTTACTTAAAACATTACGTATTTTGAGTCATAATCTCATCCAAAGAGCATGTACGTGGACAAGCTCCATTGGCTAGAGAACAAAGCACATTATATCCTCGAACAATTTTTCCTTTTTTGGTCCTTTTAATTGTATTTCCTTCTGGTGGAACTGAGTACTGGTGGAGCTTGCACAGCCAAATGGCAAGGAAGAGATTAACTGTAAGAATCTTTGAACTTCACTTGCACCAACGAGAAAAGAGATGAAGATATTCGAAGAGAATGACCCCTACCCTCCAAGCCTTACATTTACCCAACTTCTCTGCTCAAACCAAATAACTAATAAGCATTCGGCGCTCCCACATTGTCTTAGAGACAGAGCTTCAACCCTCAATACAGTTTCATTTTTCCCAAATGGCTTCATCAACAATGGCTCTCTCCTCTCCTTCTTTAGCTGGCCAAGCCGTCAAGCTAATCCATCTTCGTCTACCCTTATAGGTGACGGCCGGGTCACCATGCTCAAAACCGCAGCCAAGTCCAAAAATGTATCGTCCGGCAGCCCGTGGTACGGTCCGGACCGTGTCAAGTACTTGGGTCCATTCTCTTGTGAATTGCCATCATACCTCACTGGAGAATTCCCTGGTGATTACGGTTGGGACACTGCTGGGCTCTCAGCCGACCCAGAGACCTTCGCTAAGAACCGTGAGCTTGAAGTCATCCATTCAAGGTGGGCAATGCTCGGCGCTCTTGGGTGCATTTTCCCCGAACTCTTGTCCCGTAATGGGGTCGAGTTCGGTGAGGCTGTTTGGTTCAAGGCAGGAGCTCAAATTTTCAGTGAAGGTGGGCTAGACTACTTGGGAAAC